CCATTTGCTGCCATGAGGAATACAGGAAACGTGTGTGGGTGGGACAGATAAGAATTTTATTGATGTAAGGAACTTTTCACCGGCTGAGACACTAAGTAGGCACTCTGGGAATAGGCAGATTTGGGAAGTATCGACATAGACATCTTAAAGCCAAGATGAGACATATAATTTCCCATGAAGTTTAAGTAAAGTGAGACAAGAATCAGAATCTCATCAAACATTTAAAGGATGACCAGGCAATGACCAGGTGGAAACATGTGTATAATAACTTTTACTTCGTATTTATTATTTGTAAGGCATTGGGCTGGGTCCACTTTACATAAGTATTTGAAAAGTTACAATAAGCCTAATAATTTATTAGGCCACAATCCTAGGGGGTCAACGTTTTCACCCTGGGATTCAGTCTCTTTTGAGATTCTCTTTCCTCTATGCAGATGGTAAAATCAGTTTGGCACTGTTTTGGAAAGAAGTTGTTTGGGTCTGACTTGTGTTGGGAATGAGCAGATTAGACCATCTAAGTTCAAGGTCTCTGAAACTCTCTTTCCTTCCATCAGAGTTGCTCTCAGTTCCCTTAAGTTCCCCCATCATCACAATGAAGGTACAGACTTACGGCATAAAGGGAAGGGAGGAGGGAGCCGTGCTTCCAAGCCTTCAGGTTAGTAACCAGACACAATCTTCACGGTTCCACAAAATCTAGTCCAGAGCAGCAAGAAAAAAGGTTCCACACTGCAGTTTGGGACCGAGTCCAAGCTAGAAATAAAGGTTTTCTTGCCTGACCCTCTCATCATGTATACCTTTTATTTCCATTTGGGAGAACGGGGAATTATGTAGGAGAAGCTACCAGGCTAGAATTAGCTGTCTGGCTGCCATTACTCAGTTCATTTCCTTTAGAGACACAGGCATGCAAAGGTCACAGGGAGATCTGGGTGAGATGACACACATCCCAGCTTGTTCCAGACAGTTCTGGTTTCTACCTTTTGATCCTTTCTGCCCAGTTGAGAGTTTGACACACCCCAAAATGTTCTTTTTGGATGAGTTATTCTATCAACCATATAGGACTAAAACCTAGCCCTTGTAACTTTTAAATCCAAATGCCTTTTCTGCTTCTCTAGGCTGTTGCATGTTTACTTGTGTGTTATTGGCAGATGCCCTCAATAAAAAGGTGTCATTATTCCTCAAAGCACATCACATTAAAGTTAGAACAGCCTAATTGTTATTTATACACATCAATTAATACAAAGGGGATCAGTAAAAGATAAACCTAAATATGAACTACTCAAATAAAACTAAACAGATTTGCATCATACTGGCATTTAAAATCATAACCACATGTTCTAAAATTTTAGATAATTTTTATGATCCTGCTTCCCTGTAAATTTTATTGTGACTTGGCAATACTTGCAAATTTTATAGTCTAATGTCTTTCTTCCCAAGTTTCTCTCCCATTACACTGTGTTCCTATAGTTCAGCCTCTGAAGTCACATCAAAGATATTAAAATGTGTCACTTGCAATTTGGTTAATGTTTTCTTTAAAATCCCCGTGTTTGTTGGGTAATAAGGAAACTTTGATAATGAAAACGGTTAAATCTAAGTGCATTTTATTAGGGGCATGTTAAGGTTGGGCACTCAACAGGTAAGTGTTTAACACTTAGAAACATTTCAAAGCTCCTGGCAAGATCCACTCTGAAGGGAGGTAGGAGTGGGAAGAACATTTGGGATAAACACAAACTAGGCCATAAGGACCAAAAGTGCAGGAAGCAGAAGAATAAAGTTGTTCTCTAAAAAGACCTTTGAGTTTCAACATTCTTAGTTCCTGTGATTCTATTCTGCCAACATCCAGATGTTAAACTTGCTAAAGTTTAACAAAATAGGACACTCTGTGTTCCCTTCCTCTTTAACGCAATGCCCATGTTCCAAAAAAAAATTTATAGCAAGAGTATTCTGTTAACAAAAACAAGAATTTCATTCTAGCTGTCCCTTCACCCCTCATCCACAAGTTCTCTGCACAAAACCTCCACTTATAAGGAGTCCCCTACTGGCTAAATAGAGGATGCTATTTAGGAACTTTGAGTTTTGATCCATATATTTCCTACATGATACCTTAGTAACTTCAAGATGCTGTTTGCCTCCTCCAGAGCACGTGGCATTTTGCCCAGCAGCACTCACAGTCCCGTATCTCAAGGCACATGGTGCCTGGTGGCTTTCAGAGAAGGCTTCAGACATTGAAGGCCTTCCAGGACGAGCACTATCCTTCTGTGCTAGACCTACGCCTTCCGGGGAAGTCAATCACGTGAGACCAAAATCTTCTCCTTGTGCCGGAAGAGTGTCAGAGCTCAGGAAAGGAGCAGATGTGAATGTGTGGAGAGATGACCCCTTATATCAGGTATTTCTGATAAGCCCAGTGCACTAAAGGTGTTCAGATCTCGCCTAGATCATGTGTCACACAAATGTAAATTGGTTATGGGGAGAATGTCAAAGTAATGCCTTCTATGGGGTCTGCGATAGATTGAATGTTTATGTCTGCCACCAGATTCATATGTTCAAATCCTAACCTGGCCTTTGGGAAGTGACCAGAGTTAGTTCACCCTTTGGGCTATGTAAGAATACAGAGAAAATACATCCATCTGCGAGGCCTTCACCACATACCAAATCTGTTGGCAGCTTGATCTTGGGCTCTCCAGTCTCCAGAACAGTGAGAAATTTCTATGGCTTACACCCCTCTTAGCATATGGTATTTTGTTACAGCATCACAAAGAAGCTAAGATAAAAATTGGTACTGAGGGTAGAGTGTCACGATAACAAGATACCTAAAATGTTGGACGTGGTTTTGAAACTGGGTAATGCGTAGTAGAGGCTAGAATAATTTAGAGGTGAATGCTGTAAAAAGCATATGTCGCTGTGAATGAATGGACTCTGAGAGGTGATTCTGTTAAGGACTCAGAAGGAAAGGAGCACCATAGACAATGGGATGACCTTCTTAGAGAAAACCAAGTGTCTGTAAACAGAATGGTGGCAGAAACACGGACAGTGAAGGGCATTCTTATGAGTTCTCAAATGAAAATGTCATTGGGCAATGGAGGAAAGAGCACACTTGTTACAAATAGTAAAGAATTTGGCTGAACTCTGTTCATTTCCCAGTGTTTTACAGAAGGCATAACTTGCAAGCAATGAAACTGAATATTTGGCTGAGGAAGCATCTAAGCAAAATGTTGAAGGAGCACCCTGGTTCTTCTGGACTATTCACAGTGAAATGTGAGATAATAAATGACTTAAAGATAGAAGTGTTAGTAGAAAGAGAAGCAGAACTTGGAAAGTTCTCAGCCTATCCATATTGTTAAAAAATGAGAAATCCTGCTTAGGAGAGAACATGAAGGGTATGGCCAAATTTTCTAAGATGACTGTGGACCAGCCATTTCTACAGACTCTGAGAAGTAGTCATCAAGGCAATGAGGGGATTAGTTATCCATCTAAACAGAAACCAGCACCACTAGTCCACGGTATGGAAGAATGACCCTAAAGCCATTGCAAGGATCACTGGACTGTCTCTCCAATTATAGGCCCGGGGACAAAGTCCTACAAGACAGAAGGATCTCAAAGGAGGGGCCACAGCTTCCTTGCAGCACCTGCCATCACAGCCTCCGCTCCATGCTCCATCACCATGTCCCTCGGCCACACCCAGTATGGCTCCTGCAGACCCCAGTGTCATATGGGCTTCATGCAGCAAAGCTGTAGGAGCATGGCTGCCTCCACCTAGACTTTGAAGGGTGCCCCAGAGAGCTTCAGGGCCCCAGAAGAGAATCAATATAAGTCTAGGGCTACCTCAGGGAGCCTCCACTGTTATGCCCAGTGGAGCTGTTGGGGGAAAAGCCATACCTAAGATTTCAGACTAGTAGAACCACCAGCATGCAACTCTAGCCTGGAGGAGTCATGGTTGAAAGATTCAGGCACAGGTTCACGGCAGCGGTGAGCCACCCAAATCCATGAGGGCAGGACTCTGACCTAGCAGGTCTTAAAGGTGGGACTTCCTCCCCCCCTTCTTTTGGTCCCATCCAGTAGACCCAGAAGGCAAAGCACTGAACCTAAAATTATTGTTAAGCACTAAGGTTTTAGACTTGCTTTGGACCTGTCACTCCTTTCTTTCCCATTTCTTCCTTTTGGAAAGGGAAGGTTTATCTTATGCCTGATCCAATATTTCATCTTGGAAACATATAATATGTTTAATTTCAGAGATTTGCAAGTAGGAATTAATTTGACTAAGGGTGAATAATACTTTAAAGTCTCAGCCCATCTGATTTAGATATTTAAATGAGTCTTTGGACTTGAAGATTTTTAAGTTGATGCTGGAACGAGTTAAGACATTTTGGGCTGTTAGAATGGGATGATGTATTTCTCATATGAAAAAGACATGGAATTTGGGGGCAGAATGTTATGAGAACATAACATAATATTTGTGTTCCCCCAGTAATCTTATATGGAAATACTAACCCTCATGTGGTGGTAATAGATGGTGAGAACTTTGGAAAGTAATTAGATCATAAGGATGGAGCCCTCAAGAGTGGGATGAGCATTGTAGAAAGAGATGCCACAAAGCTCATTCATTCCTTGCACTGTCTGAAGACATAGCAAGAAGGCACCATCGATGAACCAGGAACGATATCTGCTGGCTTCATGATCTTGGGCTTCCCAGGCTCCAGACTCTAAGCAATGATTTTTGTTGTTGAAAAGCCTCACAGTCTACACTGTTTTGTTATGCCAGCCCAACAGAGTAAAACAGAGGCTGCTAGGTGGAGCCTTGGCAGTGAGGAGAAGGGTAGGTTTAATTCAAAGTACTGGGTACTCCAGGTACACAAGTATTAGGTACTCCATTTAAAAAACTGTATGCCTATGCAAACACACACACACACACACACACACACATATGCATGTGTAAAATTTCTCAACCATGACAACCACTCTTATATACGAGCTACTTCTAAAATCATCTAAGTTAGTATTCTTACCTCATCTGCAACTTTCCATATTTCTTGATCACTCCATTGTTCATAGGGATCCAAGTTTTTTCTAAATGTTCCAGAAAAGATAAATACTTTCTAGAGCAATAAAGAAAAAAAGAAAATATGAATATACTAAACATCTCTATTTTTCCTCATCTTATTGTGAAATAATTCATGTAGGAAAAAGATTTTTAAATAATTTAACAAATACTCATGCACTTACCATGCAGTTTCCTTAAATTTTACTATTTTGTCATGTTTCCTTTATATTATTTTCAAGAAACAAAAAAGCAGCATGTTAAGCTCCTGAAAACATTTTTCTAATCCCAGTGTCTTTAGAATAAAGAAATTCAGAAAAAGTTTGTTGTGGCAAGTTAATTTTTTTTATTTCTAGCAATGCTCCTTATTATAAGCAAATAGATATAAAATCTTAGAGAGTAACCTTCTGGGGCCAGCGCTGCGGTATAGCAGGTAAAGCCACTGCCTGCAGTGCTGGCATCCCATAAAAGCACTGGTTTGCCCCAGGTGCTCCACTTCCAATCCAGCTCTCTGTTATGGCCTGCGAAAGCAGTAGAAGATGGCCCAAGTTCTTGGGCCCCTGCACCTGTGTGGGAGACCCAGAAGAAGCTCCTGGCTCCTGGCTTCAGAACAGACCAGCTCTGGCCATTGCAGCCATTTGGGGAGTGAACCAGTGGATGGAAGACTAACATATTCTCTCTCATTCTCTCTCTCTCTCTCTCTCTCTCTCTCTCTCTCTCTCTTTCTGCCTCTGCCTCTCTCTAACTCTGCCTTTCAAATAAATAAATCTTAAAAAAAAAAAATGGGGCTGGCCCTGTGGCACACTAGATTAATCCTCCGCCTGCGGCACCACCATCCCATATGGGCACTGGGTTCTAGACCCAGTTGCTCCTCTTCCAGTCCAGCTCTCTGCTGTGGCCCGGGAAAGCAGTGGAGGGTAACCCAAGTGCTTGGGCCCCTGCACCTGCATGAGAGACCAGAAGCACCTGGCTCCTGGCTTCAGATAAGCATAGCTCCAGCTGTTGTAGCCATTTGGAGGGTGAACCATCAGAAGGAAGACTTTTCTCTCTGTCTCTCTCACTGTCTGTAACTCTACCTGTCAAATAAATAAATAAAAAATCTTTTAAAAAAAAGTGACCTTATGAGCTAAAATTAACTTGTCAGAACAAATTTATGAGTTGTTAATTAATTTTCTTTGTATTGATTTGACAAATCTAGCTTCCAGGGGATTTTAAAAATTTATTTACTCCTGTATTTGAGAGGCAGAAAGACAGAAAAAAGAGAACTCCCCAAATGCCTGTGACAGCTGGGGCTGGGCCAAGGCCAAAGCTGGGAGCAGGAAACTCAATCAGGATCTTTCACATAGGTGGCAAGAGTGCAGTCACTTCAGCCATCACGGCTGCCTCCCAGGGTCTGAGTTAGCAGGAACTTGTAGCCAGGAGCCAGAGGTGGATACTGAAGCCAGGCACTCCATTTAACAAGCAGCTATCCTAACCTCTAAGCCAAGCACCAATCCCTCAAACGGATTTTGAAATTGCATCTTACAGATACCCACTCAAACACACATGTTGATCAAGGCACACTTCTACTTACACAACCAGATAGGTAGAGGAGAGGGCACTACTAAGAACTCAGTTTAAAAGAGGGAACCACATATCTGCTAACTTCAGGCACATTACAGAAGGGAGGCAGTTGAGAGTGATGTGAATGAGGTGACAAAATTACTATCTACTGCCCTGTAATGACCATTGCACAGTGTTTATCCTGGGACTTTCCACTTGCCACATCACTATCTACTTACATCTGCCTATATGGTTTTAAAAATGGTTTAGAAAATAAATTACTGGGGCCAACACTATGGCATAGTGGGTAAAGCCACAACCTGCAGCACAGGCATCCCACATGGGTGCTGGTTCCAGTCCTGGCTGCTCCACTTCTGACCAGCTCTCTACCATGGCCTGGGAAAGCAGTAGAAGATGGCCCAAGTCCTTGGGCCCCTGAACCTACGTGGGAGACCTGGAAGAAGCTCCTGGCTCCTGGCTTCAGACTGGCACAGCTCTGGCCATTGCAGCCATCTGGAGAGTGTAACAGCAGATGGAAGACCTCTCTCTCTCTTTCTCTCTCTCTCTCTAACTCTACCTTTCAAATAAATCTGTATAAAAAAAAAAGAAGTAGAGTTTTAAAAATAAATAAAGTAAATTCTGTCTCATTGGGAATCAATCTGTTGAAATCTTTACTTAGTATATACTAAGTTGATCTTCTGTATATAAAGATAATTAAAAATGAATCTTAATGAAGAATGGGATGGGAGATGGAGTAGGAGATGGGATGGTTTGCGGGTGGGAGGGAGGTTATGGGGAGAAAAACTGCTATAATCCAAAAGTTGTACTTCTGAAATTTATATTTATTAAGTAAAAGTTTTCTAAAAAAAGATCCAATAATAACAATATTTAGTTCCTTCCTTGTGCACATGGATGAACTGAAAGAACATTTTGATGTTAATGTTTAGAATAAACAAAGGGGAGTAAAGAACATCATTGCACACCCTAGCTTGTACAGATTGCCTTAGATGGAGAGAGAATGCTCAGTGCCTATCTCATCTATGAAGAACTACACACAGCAAGGTGGCCCCACCACATTACTGTGGCTGTGTGTCTAAGGTTGAAGGGGCGTGTCCTCACCAAGCCCAACAAGTTCAAGTGCAGAGGTCACATCAGAGAGCTCACCCTCACCCCAACCCCATGCCCCAGGAATAATTTATGGCTTAAAGAAGAAAGTTGTTGCCAAATATCTCAGGAACCTCTAGAGAGGCAACCAGAAGCCTTTTACTGATATTTCTCAGGTTAGGAGATACCTGCATTGCTCTACAGAAGTGAATGTAACAATTACGTATATGACTCATAGGACCATGAGACATGATGGATATAGCTGTGCACCCTTCTCAAAGCTTCTAAGTAAATGAAAGGAATGTTCAAATAAGCTCAAAAGAGCAGGTCAAAGGGCATTACTCAGGAATTCTGACAAGCTAAAGAGAATTTTAAAAGAAGTGGCTCTGAGAACTTGAGTCTATTCATTATTTAAGCAATTAGGTTTATTTAGCACCTAAAAGTCAAAGGCTTGCCAATAGAAGTTTGCCACATAGTGTATGTATGTATGTGTATATGTGTGTGTGTGTGTGTATATATATATATATATATATATGCAGTGGTTCTTTATAGAATAAGTTTCCAGAATTTTTCAGAAGGACAGGAAACAGTTATGAGAGGATCAGAGCATGGGTCGCATGCTTCGGAAAGTGGTAACTACCTGGATGCCCTGCCTTAGGGTGGGCTTACCATGTGCCCTGTCTTGGGTAGGCTCAGAAAAGGTGTGACTGCCATACATCTGCATGTCACCCTAATGAGATCAATTATTCTACTGCACATGAAGAAATGCTGGCTTGGAAATAGCATAGATTTAAGCAGACATTACTCAAAGGAAGACATACAAATAGCCAACAGGTACCTGAGAAAATGCTCACCATCACTAATCATCAGGGAAATGCAAATCAAAACCACAATGAAAGATCACCTCAAAATGACAAAAGATATTATGTGCTGGCCAGGATGTGGAGAATGTAAATAAGTGAATCCTTTGTGAAAAAATTATATGCAGGTTCTCAAAAACCTAAAATCGAACTATGATGTGATCCAACAATCCCACTCCACAGTATATATCCAAAGGAAAAGAAATCAGTATGTCAGAGACATCTGCACTCCATGTTTATTGCAGCATCATTCACAATGGCCAAGAAATGGAAAGTCCTGAGTGTTCACCCACTGATGAATGGAAAAAGAAAACGTGGTAGTACACACATCAGAATACTAGTCATAAAAATGGAAGGTGGTAGGCATTTGGCTTAGTGGTGAAGCTGCTGGTTAAGATCCCACATCCCAAATCAGAGTTCCTGTGTTTGAGCCTTGGCTCTGCTCTTGATTTCGGCTTCCTGCTACTGTGCACCCTGGGAGGCAGCACATGATGATCCAAGGAGTTTGATCCTTGCCAGCCCTGTGGGAAACCTGGGTTGAGTTCCTGGTTCTAGGATTCAACCAGGCCCAGCACTAGCCATTGAAGATATTTGGAAAGTAAACCAGCAGATGGGAGCACCCTCATTCTCTTTCTCCCTGTCTCTCTACCACTCAAATAATAAATAAGTAAATAAACAAATAGTTCACTTAAAAAGGATGAAATCTTAAGAGAATAAGCCACACACAGAAATACAAGTACTACATGATTTCATGCATATGTGGAGTGAAATAAAAAGTGACCTCAGGGAAATTAAAAATACAATGGTGGTGTAATAGTTACTAGAAGGTGAGGAGGGTAGGGGGAAGGAAGAAATGGGAAAAAATTGGCTGATGGGCACTAAATTATTTATGAGTAATAAATTCTGGGGTCGTATTCCACAGTAGGGTAACTATAGACAATGTTAACATACTGTATATTCTTCTGCAAAACACTAGAAAATAGGATTTTGAGTGCTTTCACTACAAAGAAATAGTAAATGTTTGCAGATAGTTCTACTGACTGCAAATGGATATTACACAATGTATGCATGTATCACAATTTTACATACTTCCTAACAAATATGTATAATATTTATGAATCTGACAGATTTTTAAATGAAATAAACAGTGAAAAAAAAAAGTTCTAATGCTCCATTGCAAAGCAGGATAACAACAGATCACGATGGCAGCCTCCATCATCCAATGGGCTAATGCCTCCCTTCTTCTCAAATCTCCTCCATTTCTAGGCTTCCCCATCTCAGCACATAGCACCTTCAATTCCTGCATCCAGAAACTTGGACATCTTCTGTGACTTCCCATTCTCCCTGATCTTCCAACATGAAATTAATCTTCAGTCCTATGGATGGTTTTCCCAAAGTATATGTCAAATCTAATTATTTCTCTATGTTTACTGCTACCAAATAGTCAAAGCCACCAAAATCTCCCTTTGTACAACTACATGGTACAAATCACATAATTTTATTCACCTTTTAAAAAACCCTCCACTGCCCTGAGAGCAGAGTGTAATATCCT